AAAAAATTTTGTTCTAGAATGAACCATTTAGTTCTACAAAAAGAATCCCCCTGAAACTTTTCTTATGTAACCTCCTACGACCGGATTATGAGAAATACACAAAGCTTGTGGTTTCATTTCTTTAAATTGAATTCAGATATAGAACAGCATTTGGTAGCTCTTCATTCCCATACACAGACTACAAAAACTGAATCAGCAAGATGTGAGAGCTTAAAGGCGCTGACTAAAAACTCTATGCGCGCTGTAAGTGAATCAATAAGAGCATGCAAAACCCTTGACACATATCTGCACTATCTTTTGGATCATATTCTTAAGTCAGCACAACTCATCTGGAGTCTATGATATGCTTAGTATTTTCTCAGCTCCTGTCTATTTCATGACTTCTTTTGAAGATGCAAAGACCACAAATATGATACACTTTAGCTCATCTTATTTTAAAGTGGTAAAAATTCAAATGAAGGAAAAATAAAAGGGAACTTACTAGCCTTTGAAAAGTTTATCGTAATACTTTTTTGCCATTCGTGCTTCCCAACTAGTTGCTAGAGAAGCGTCATCCGCATCACTCCATAAAAATTTATGATTATCCTGAACAAAAAATTTATCAGGGTATGTCCAACTAAAGATTCTTTCATTGTACATAGGTAAATCGACATTTGTGGTAGATTTAGAACTCACTTTGAGAACATCATAATCAGTGCGATCCCTACTTGTGTCACGTTGTAACACATTCGTGGCCCCTGGATACGATAGGTAGTACAAGTTTATGAGTTCTTTATGCCGAGAGTAAGCATCCATCGCCATCATGCGGGTAATTTGTCTGAAGCTGCCCGTTAATCGCTGATCTTTTGACAAGGGATGGATACTTATTGGCGGTGGCCTTTCGTAATAAGAGGCGTACTGCCAGATGCGGCTTGAAATGCTGATTTTAAATCTGCCTTACAAATCTAAATACCCTTGCAGTGGGTTTAGAAATTTTTTCCCAAAAAAGGTTACAAAATCTGCCATTTGCAATAAAACTCAAAAATCACCTTAGCGACAGAACAA